TTTCCACGTGTATTTCATGAATGTCCTCATCTTGAAGATGACCTACCGGAGACTGTTTCTCAAAGTCACTAATATGCAGTTATGCGTAAGCCATGATGTTTCGTGATACGCGGCAAGAATAGCATACGTATAGCAAATCCTAGAGTCCGGCATCCCAATAAATCTGGATGTAAAAACTTAATAAATAATCGATTAGCTACGAACTATCAGAATTTGCTTCTCATCGTTATTTTAAAGGACGATAATTTTGCAGCTGTGCGAATAAATTTCCTGGCCAGTCAGAAAAGTTTATCATTAGTTATTTACGTTATTATTAGTTATTGCGAATTTTCCAGATAACCCGTCACGTTGCAGTGTGCATTTATCATTGCATTTATCATTGATTCCTCGTAAATCTTCGTATAAAGTGTCATGAATAACCCACCGTCAGAATGGACATATTTATCATTGGTAAATAGTATCTTCGATACATGTGTAGCTAGAGACAGAAAGTTGCGCTTCCGAATTATGAATTCGTTTGTAATTAGAGTTTCTTGCTACATTGATAAACTGTCAGAATCTACAATGAAATGCAGTTAATAGCAAAGAGTCGGTATTGTGTCTGCTGGTCGTGATAATATAGTTTAATTTTTTTAACTTAAAATAAAATTTTGTGAATTATAGCACCATTTCAGTTAAAAAAATTAGTAAATATATTTCAAGAAGTAATAGCTGAGATAGATAAGGATATCATTCGAAGAGGTATTGTTAATAACTGTTTTGGTAGTCTCTCGTGTGGCCTTCGGCATTGCTCGGTATTTGCCTTTGCGGAAAGTACTTTTACTAGGGACAATAATTATAATTATTTGAGTATTCGTGTCAAGGATTGAAGGTAACTGAGCATTGAGAATTATGACCTGGAGTTTAGGATATTTTAAACGATGATGTTTAGTCATAAGAAATACTAACTGAAGGTACCGGGCGATTGAAAACTATTTTTTCAGCTTATTGATGGGACCCAACATCAATAGTTGAAATAGTCAAAAATGCTTAAAGGTAACAAATGATAACCAAAAGTATTTAATCGCAGGAAATGGCAATATTGTTACGTTTAACAAAGAATTTTCTGCATACTGCTTTTTTTACTTGTACGGGATATTTAAAACGTATACTTATAAGGTAATAAATACGGAAATTTCAAGAATCATATGAATACGGAGAATTAGAAAATTTTGACATCTGTCAGTATAAAGTAAACAAGGAGAATCAAGAAAATTCGTAGGTGTCGTCGAATAGAATGAAATTTCGTGCAGATTGTTATACAAAAATTGCAAAACAATTCGCTTATATAAACGAGCAGATGTGTTTTAAAAATAATGTATATTCGGGAAAGAGATGAGTAATTATCGATTGGACGTTGCGACAAGGAAAAGACGTATATTCGATACCGGATGTATGCTTCTATGGTAGTTCTTATCAGATAAGCCAAAGTAAAAGTGAGGGGAAAAAATCGAGATAGGTTTTTGGTAAAACGACGTAGGGCGTCGCACGATAAATTTTACCCGATTGGACGCCATTCTTTTCGAGCGGGAGAACATTAATTAAATGGCGTGCCGATGTTATCGGTATCGCGCGTTCACACTTTCTGCGAAAGGCGTAAAAGAGGACGAGTATTAAGAGGGGTAGAAGGGTACGGCGTCATCTACAAAGGAGGAGAACTGTGAGCGAAACTTAATTAATGGTTTGACACTGAAAAGAATTATTTTCCTTTCTTCACTCGTGGGATAAAGATTTTATGAATAAGGCGTCCGGTATCTTTCGCTCTTCTTCAACTTCTCTGTTCAATGAACTTGGCCATTACGAAACTATTTTAGTTTTTTAGGTTCTAACCCTATCATATGAAAATTTAATAAGCCACTACAGATGATTACAGTAATTGACTGTACATAAACTGTAAAGGTCGATTCACATTTCAATACCATATCCGTCGCAATCCGTTTCGCATCCGTTCTACATCAGTGCAAAATGTTCACAATTTCAGAACCAACACCGTTCAGACATCACAATGTCGTCATTGTTCAGTACTGTCCAACCAGTGAAAATATCATCGCGGATTAACATCTGGACACGCATACTAATCCAAAGATTAAGGTACTGAAACGGAAACTGAAAGGTGAGAACAATTCTAGTTAGATCTATAAAATAAATTTGTATGCCAATACACGGATGTGAATTGTACGGATACGGCAAAATGTGTGAATCCGCCTTTAAGTACTTGTCGGATTAATGGTTATAGTCCGGCTGTGACATCACTTCCACTTTCAGAGGGACTTAATTACGTTACGGTCCGTAAGGTAGTGACCCCTCACAGTGGGACTGATATGGCCTAGCTATGTATTCATTATTTGTATGTCCTCGTGAAAAAATTGTTGCCACCGGATTGTATAAATTGTTACATATTATGCCATTATTAATCATGAGACAAGAAGATATTACTTGACGAATATTTTTATCCACATATTTTTCCTTATGGATGTAAATTAACATGTCACTAAACATATCAAAGGGATATATTTTTTCCAATTTTTATTACTACTTTTAATCATAGGAACAATTTTTTACTATTTTTACTTATAGAAACTTCCATATTACTTTGATATTCCATTAATAGATTGGATGTATGATACATTTATATCTACGTATGACAATGAAACACTGATTTAGTCTTTGCCTTTACTGATTTTGAATACGTTTTGATATAAATAATCACGATTGATTACTTCACCAACTTCCAGTCAATTACGTTACATTGAATAAAAATGGAAGGGTAGTACTGATAATAAATGACCGGCGTTATCGGACACCCACGGTTTATAAATTAGTATTTGATTGTCTAGTAGCCAAGAAAACAAAAATAATTTATGTTGTATCTATTGTCACTTATTGCAAGTCTAAGACAAAAATGAAAATAACATATCTATGGACCGTATCGTCAACGGCAAACTATACAAATCCATATATCAACTGCTTTTTTCCACCTATGTTAGTTACTTAAGGAAAATAACATTTATTATAATTGTATAATAATTCTACCATAAAATTTGATATGATTGACTCATTAATTATTTATACCCGTCAAAAATTATAATTCAATACGCTTAAATGTATAATAGAGACCGTCTGATGATCGGCTGAAGTCACTAAGCTCAAACAGGCTTTACTTCCATTTTTTTATTTTTTTCCCCATCACATCACGCACACTGAAGGGGTTAATTTTGAAGAGTGGATGCCTATGAAAAACGAATTATGACTTCCTGAGCGCTGTGTCACGGGATAATAAAAAGGTCGTTATGAAAGATTTTAAAGAAATTTACAGAAAAATCTTGACTTAATTTCCTACCATTCCAGACATCGCTGTCAAGGGCCTAAAGGTCTGATATGAAATTTGCGAGAGAAAGTTTTTCTTCTTTTCTCAATTACCTCACCATGGTAGGTGAAGGCAAATGAGTAAGAATCAGGTTTCTGAGAGCGGCAGTATCTTTACAGAACGGTGCACTATGTATAGTATTATGTTTTTCCAAATTTATAAATGACTATTTAATTATTTCAGACTGATATAAATTTCATAAACAATTAGTGGAGTTCAATTTTGCTTTTGGTAAAATTATATCTAACAGAAATTACTATAATGGTAAATCGTATAGCGGTAATTGCATCTCTTGAAAGATTAAAAAAATGTATATTTTAGCTAACAACTAATATGGGGCCTAAAGTATTTCGTTATCTAGAGAATCAAGAATTGATAGACTGAATACTGATTTTCATTTAGTCAGAATTTGAATATTAGGTCTCTCATGACAAATATGTATAACGTGTACACGGTCCACGGTACACTATAGTGATATAAATGCACATATCTAGCCGCGAATAAAATCCACGTAGTGTACATATGTATAAATGTCCGACAGTTTGCACAATAATAAATACGCTACCAATTTTATATCGTGGCTGAAAATTAAAAAATATCCATTCTGTCTTGATTTCTATTAATTTCAATGAATTTCATTCATAATATATTATTGCTTTGAATTACTGTGGAATTCAGGACATACCCATATCCACTTTTCCTTTACTGATCCAAATAGAATTTCGCACTTAAAAAATTGTCTTGCCACTAACAAGGTAGGAACTAATTGGCGCCTCAAACGTCTATGATAACTATAGTCATTCAAAACTTTAAATGAATTCTAAGCGGGATGAGATGTAATACAAAAAATTTAGTCTTACCAACAGTGCACTATTTGAAATCCTGAAAATAGTTTCACCATGTTGATAGTCGCGTTTTTAACTTTAAATGTGTCCTCTACAGTGGCACGAATATCGCGTCTGGCGTCATTCAAAACTTTTAATCGTTTTAGAGACACTGCGACTTTCAAAGAACTCCATATCTAGGTAAAATTTACCATTGCCTTGAACAGCGCGAGACACGTCCTTGCGCCATATTCGGAGCACTTGTCACGTACTTGAGCGACTAAACTCCACGGAAAAGTTATATTATATATTCGAAAAATAGGCAATATGTTTGTTGTATATATAACTTTTTAAGGTCGTATGTATCGTAAATACAAAGAATATACATGTATGTCACATGTACGGAGAATGTATATTAAGAATGAGAATAAAGATACATAAAAAATATATTCTTTGTATATGCGATACATATAAAAAAAGCCGCAGAAGCAAAAAAAAACGCAAAATATATTCAAAATACATTTTACGTATACGTCGAATATATTATGTATAACTTTATCGTGGGGGAGAAAAGAACGGAGAAAACTTGAATCAAATTTTTATAGGCGACAACGTAGCTTTGCTCTATAATCTGTATCGGGTATGTAGTATATGTATAGATTGATTATTACGGCTTCGACCACTTGGATCATTGATCATTGCAGTGTATAAAATGATGTGAATATAGTATTTACTTAACTGAAAAATTTTATTCGTTTTGTATATTGCAGGTTACTTGGATACGCCGTAAAGACAGGCAACTGTTGACTGTTGGTAGTACGACTCATTCACCGGATGCTAGATTCGTTGTCAGACCATCTTCATCTGATTGGTCACTGCTTATCAAGAAAGTTAAAAAACAAGATGCAGGCCTATATGAATGTCAGGTAAACTTATATATTTCTCTGCCAAAGATATTTTCAAAAGAAGCAACTGCGATAAGCGTGACGTATTGGAAAAATGAAGCGCGCTGAAAAGCAATCTATCTCGTGTGTAAATTTCACATGATGAATCAGGAACCATAGTCAACATACTTTTCAATATCGACAAAAATAACAGTATAACTTACTCATAAATTATACTATCGTTAAAAACAGTATTGCCTGATACTATAATATTATTATATTATCCCTTCACTGACAATGAAATTTTTCGGAATTTTTGCCTTTGGAATTTTTTCACAGCCGGAAAAATGCATTTTCTTGTCATAAAATATTTTATTGTATTAGAGTCATTGAATCCTCCATTTTGTTTTTGAACTCAAATTTCGAAAAACAGATATCAAAATTTGATTTCGCGATCCCGAAAACTCTCAGGTACCAAGTTTTAGTCGAATCAAAATTTTTATTTTAGCATCTTGAAAATTTTTGGAAATTTACTATCAAAATCGGGTCAGCACTATCAAGTAATCCAGCAAACGCACTTTCATTCATTTTCGAGAACTTATTTGGCTCTTCAGGTCCGATATACCTGACGAAAGTCACGGATCCCCCACAGCACGGTTCGCACTCTTAAAAATCTCGTTGGAGAGGAATCTTTCCCTCTCAGGGAGTTTCCGCCCAAGCTTCAGTAGCCCTCGTAAGCATCCGCGTGTCCGTAGCACTCCCACTCGGATAACCACGCTTACAAGATTTTTTTTGCACGGTACTTACCAAAAACTCGACTCACCCATAATCCATTTAAATCCGAATGTGCGGCAGCCGAGCCCCTTCTGGCTTCTCTATAGCAGCGCCACTCCCTGGTTCCACGAGGACCTCCACAAGACACGTACACTGTAATCTTAACACCTAATTAGAAAATCTGCTTAACGCTAGAGAAAATCCCGATTTTCCTGATAGGTCCCCTATAGTTAGAATCCGAATGGACATTAACGGTCGTCAAGCCGAATTTTGCCAAAGCAAAATCGCAGATTCTCGAGAATCACCCCTTACCACCATCCGCAGTATACCGATTCAAAAAAATTCTCCCTCAAATGTCCTAACTGTGGGAACGTAAATCGTGATAACTTAAAGTTCTTAGGATATCGATAGTGAGTACTGGTGGTTGGACACCCCTTTCGATCTATATTTATAACATCTCATCAAACATGATGTGTTATAGATTCCTACTGTGCCAATCCAACATCAGTTTATTTGCTTGAAGATTACCGAAGCGTATTCGGTAATCCCAGGAGCCCCCGACCTTTACGTCAAACAAGGTTCAAGTTTACGTCTAGAATGTCAGCTAATGGCTGCCACGGAACCTCCGATCTACGTGTTCTGGTACCGACACGGCCGCATGATAAACTATGATGATGAATCTGGAGTTACAGTGAAAGCAACGAAGAATGGCTCCACTTTGCTTGTGGAAAAGACGAAGTCCAATCATGGTGGAAACTATACCTGTTCTCCGAGCAACGCGAGGCCCGTTTCCGTGATGATTCATGTTATCGAGGGTGAGAAATGCGAAATCATGCTCTATCTCTTCCGGCATGAAAAAAGTTTTAAGTATTCTCAAATAACTACGGTTACGTCGTATGGCAGCCTGTGCAATCTGCACGTAACGCCGATTATACGCAATTATTTATATTTCCTGTTACGCACAATTTTCTCATTTTCATTATTACGTGATTAACGTATACTGACGTACGTAATTATATTGAACATACTATTGTCTATAACTCATACTTATTTTCAATTTAATTTTTCAATGTTTATTGTCATAATTTAATTCTTTTAACTATATGCCACACGTGAGTATCCATTTTCATGGATTATGTTTTTGCACAAAACACATGGAATATGCGGGAGTGTTCGATGCATTTGCCATCGCGAAATATCATAGTGCGCGTGTGTACGGTGATTTATAGGTACATATTAATCTACTCAAAATTCCAATCAAACAGCTGAACTGATCGGGTAGACACTTACAAAAATATCAAAAGGACGATAAGTACGTAAAATTGGCATAAGTTGAGTATCTCGAGGTTAAAATTTCAATATGTGCAAAATTAATTTTTTTCAACGACGAATGCATCAGATTCACTGAGTAGTTCAAGCGCTTATGAAGTCTCAATTTTTTTATATTGACTAATTAGCGTCAGCCCTATTCGAACTACTCATTCATCAATTATTTCTATGTACTAATATCGTGTACGTTGCATTTGTTATATAATGTCGTCTTAAAAAATTGTACCATCCATCAATCGCATACTAGCCTATAAAAACAAGAAACATTTTTTTTAACTAAAATTATTACGCTTCACGTCGATTCAATGTTATACGATCATTCATAATTATTTTCTACGTATATTTAATAATTTTCGTAATTTCCAATTGTTTTCAGACTCACCTTTCAAAATATGTATTAGCCTATGCTCAGGACGTAGCGACGGTTCTTCTACTTCTCTTTTGAGTATCCATATTTTTACACCCCATAAAGCTAATCTCACTTAAGCCTACAAATTCAGCTTCTCCCAAGCAGTTTCGTCATATCGTTCGCGCGTCCCACATAACGACAAATAATCTTCTAGAATGTAACGTTCCGTCTCCGTATCATAGACAAGGAAAAGAACTTAACGAGAATATAATGTCGACATTGTTTTCAGAAGAGGAGAAGCCAGCCGCTATGCAGGGCGGCGGTGATCTTCGAAGCTCCGCGATAAAATTCTCATCCAACTTGGGTCTGACCTTCATTATGCTGCTGGTTGTGCACACCGTACAGAAATACCTCAACATTTTCATCCTCCGCTATACGTGACCAGTCAATTCAACGCATACAATTTTCCAAAATATTAAGCATTATCGTGCCATCAAGCCGATAGACCTAAACTGTAAAACAACTCGACAAGTTGTCCGTTTGAATTGTTTGCACGAGCATCGTATATGGCTAAACCGGTGAAAGCGCAAAATTTACCTTCTGTTCGCTCTTATAATCGCTACGCCAAACTACGAGGTAATTGAAATTCTGACATGGTGTAAACTTTTGGTAACGAGCATAAATTTTGTGGTGCATTCTTACTCGATTAGGTCACTTGAAAATTCATAAGTCATATTCGATTAACAATGTGATACCATAGAGAAGCAAAATTTAATTCGAAACAGTCACGTATAAGTTTATATAGAATTTAACAGAATTCACGATTACAGCGAGAATAGTACAGTACACTGGTATCAAAGTAGACTGGTACCCTTGGTGACCGGTGATAAAGAGTTTAACCCTTAACAGTGACACTTCAGTGGTGGTTCATAACGGTCATACGGGCACTGTGACCCCAGATGACCATTAAGGGTTAACCGTACTTCACGACAAAATACGTACTTGTGTGTGGGACTAGTAGTTACAAATGATACAATCTAGTACGATTTACATATTATATTGATTCGATTTTTTCGGATAAAATCTACCATTTTTATCGTGTGCATATAATTATGTATAGTTTATATGTTTGTTTGACCTAATTAATATTATTGAATTATTATCAACGGAGACAGGTGGGTTTATTTAGTAATGGGGGCATCGTAGCTCGTGGTGATTTGAATAGTTATAAGGTTTACCATGTAATTACATGAGGAGTAGATATAGTTATTTACTTTTCTAATTTTTCTGGAAGAATATTTGTCACTTTGTCTCTTTGTGTGTTGCTATGGCGAAGGTCACAGACGAATCTGCACAAGTGTGACTGTTGGCCTATTTAAGAGTGAAGCGAGTACCTAGGTAGGGTTTGTCGAGGCTGGTAAAACCGGCGAGCAAATGTCCAATACTGGGTGCCGACGGTTGGTTACTTCGGGCCGAGATTGGCTGGTATATTGAGCCAACGTTAATCCAACGTTAATCCAATGTCTGGATTGTGGTGCGAAGAAGCCAACAATTTACGAGATGAAACAATTATCATTCAAGAGAAAAACGTAGATTTGAACACTGACGTGTCAGTAAAGGTGTCGGGTGTGAAAAATTCTAAAGACAAATTAACGATAACTGATGATTTGTCTGAAAAATTCAAAACTGCTATTCTAACCTCGTCGCTGATTTACAAATGATTGGGATGCTTCAAGAGAGAAATTATGCATTCTATGTTGATCATCGGGACTCGGCATATTGATTGTACTCGATAATGTATGAAAATGATAATAAAATAATCTTTTTTCTATTTTGCCCGTTTTTTCATTATTATAAACACTCACGTACGTTGGCACGAACGAAGCCTTTGACTTTGGCTCGATGTTAACGTTGCCGATACCGGCAGAGCATGGGACCTGGTACACAGTATTGACCCGAAGTTGGGCCAATTGAAAAACCCCGTCTGAGTAGTTTGAGCGAATTCGAATAAATTTTATAAATTTAATTTCCACCCATCGGATCGAAGTTTAAAAATTGTGAAATGATAAATGAAGCTTTGATTAGCTCGGGGATATTGGATCATGAACATTGAAAAAGGCGTCTAATGAAAAAATTATTGAGAAGTAACTACAGTTGCAACAGAGCTAAGGTTACTGTTTAACAACTACGTATTTTCTATATTTAATTGAGCTACAATACAAACAGTGGTGTACAAATTCTTATGGATCTTAGTCCTATTACGTTTGCCTTCCCCTCTCGCTGTTGTACTATAGACGGTTCATAAACTCAACGTTTTTTTTTACAGTTCACGAACAATTCAATCCTTAATAAACCACAATTAGTTTTCCATCAAATTACGGAAATATATGCTAAAATATAAAATTAAAATATATTTCAGGGCAAAACCACGTGTAGCTTTTTTAAGAAGAATAACATTGTTTTAGATCTGTCAAAGAAACACATTGAACTAGTGCACCGACTATAAGGGCTACTGACTAACGCTTAATTCGGCAAACAACAAGAAATAGAAAACAACGTACGCACATACGAACTTTTTATTTAATTGTACAACCCGTACTCGCCGCATTCTTTCTCAATCAGGTTAATAAAATTTCTCTCGTGACATTTGGACTCCCCATTGTCAACCGAGCGATATTGGTTTTCCAATATCCCACACTTGCGTCGCGGTATTTGCTCCCACGCGGTAGAACAGAAGTTCTCAAAAGCATAAATACGGATCAAAGGCTCCGGTAAAAAAAACATAGTCCAAATCCGAAAATGGACGAGAGTGCAAAAGGACTGAAGCTAAAAATAAACCCGGAACACGCGGCAAATGTCATCCTACTCTGATTTTTAGATTATGGGATCACATTTCAGTTCTTCTTAGTGCTATTGAAACTGCTCGTTGGATGTATCAATGTAGTCGATGTACATATATATAATCATAATTGCCGTAGAATTTGAAGATAGTATATATATACTACCTAGCCGCGTATACTAATTGCTCCTCCTCGACAATTACAGCCCTTTATAATTTTACCACATGTACCGACACACGACCACCCGATACATCTGCCCTGCTGAACAGCTGGGGGTAAGTATAGCCTTGTGTAAGAACCCAAGAACCACTTACCCTGTTTAACTGTAATTACTAATTACAGTCTGGCATGGGGTTCAGGGGTTAATTAAAAGACGTGCGTTCCAATCTCGAAAACTTGACTTACATTTTATCGTAAATTCGTAAAGCGAGAACAGGCTTGAATAATTGAAAAGACTTGATGAAAGAATTTGAAGTAGTTACTGTAATATGTAAGTCATTTAATTGAGTCCTTAATAATGTATTTATCTAAGGGTATTATTTAATCGCAATTAAATCTATACCTGCTTTTTCGTATTAGAATTTTCTGACATTTATAGACTGCCCAGAAGTAAAATAGCTTTTGAAGGGTAATCTTTCTATGACTTTTAATGTAAATGAGTCTCCTTGACAGGACCTTTTATTGCACGTTACAATTTTACCTATTTACTTCGGTAAAGTAACTCATCTCTGCGTAGCATCCATACCGCCAATTACGTACACACTTTGTACACGGTGTCCTTACAATTAGAATAAATACTATACCTTTGAAATTTAACCAAAGCACGGATCGATGAAGTGCTTTAATAATTGCCAGTATTTTTCATGGGGCCAGTATCCTAGAAATGAATATTTCAGTAAAGACAGTGGAAAGTGAAAACCCATAGGAGTACGTTCAATACGTTCTCTCTGTTATTCTACGATTGAACAATGATTCTGGTAATTAATATTTTATTCAAGGTAAAAGAATCGTATATCGGATTTTCCATTATAATTCTTTCAACAGCAGCTGCATACTCTGAACTCCCTTTAAGCGCATAAGAACTACGAACAAGAAACTTTTCTCTTTCGAAATCTAGAAAAAAACTTGGACCATGGTTCAAGTATAACAAAACTAAGTCGAACTTGTAATCGATTTAGGTAAATCTTTATACGTGCCAGTTCGCCAAGAACAGTCAAAGTAATTCCAATGAATAATCACGATAATTAAAGGATATTGATATACCACAATAATCAATATTTAGATAGGTCCTTAACCCAATAATTAATCCAGGATCGGATACCGCGAAATTAATAGAACAGATCAGTACTGGAAGCCCGATAATAAATGAATCACGAAACTAAGAGAGTGAAATTTACAGGAGTACGTATGCATGAGAGAGGGAGGGGAGGAGAAGGAAAGTTGTAAGCTAGAAAAAAAGAGGGAGAAGTTTAAGATTCATTTATTACGAGCTCCAAGACAAGTCCCGTGAAGAGCTCACCTCATAAATATATTCAATCAAACCAAAGCAGAATAATATGTAATCGCGAAGTCGTATCAGCTCTAATCAAATTAACAAATTGGACTCGCAGTAAATAAAGTAGAGCAAAACGAAATTTACATGGTCTAGAGCAGCATAGCATAGCAGCATAGCAACCCGTATAAGGTAATGAATAGTACCGCGACTGAATCACTATCAATACATGCTACAATCTGTTTGCTTAGGAATTTTACTACGATAAGCTCAACGTCACGCAGCTTTAGAGCTTAAACGACAAAAAGCAATAATTCATCGTCACTGTATGTAAAATATTTCTCGAAGAATTCTTGTTTATAAATAGAGTAAGATGGATAATGCTAGTTTACTTACGTAAACCCGATACTCGTGGTATGCTTGTGCATCGAGCAACATCCCCTAAATCTAAAGTTTTCAGCTAAATAAACAGGTACGCTATTTTAGGTACAGTAGAGTTTCTCATACCTTACTTAATGCGGAGACACGTAAGCTAAGCGAAATACCAATCACGTACGCAGAACGGCTCAGGCGGTTCCCCTTCTATGGCATTCGTGACCAGTGACAATGCTCAGATGTATCCACCACCCGACGTAAGCAGAGAGAATGTAAGCTGTGAGGGAGTGCACTGAAAAAGCATATACCTACCATCGATCCACCGAGTTATATTGTTTTGTTGTTTTAACCCTGAGCCAGTCTAATGATTCTTACTGTGATACAACGTATCCATCCCATCTAAATTTCAATATAAGATATATACGAATTTGATATGGTCAAAAATAAATTTAGCAGCAGTGGTTAACCACTAAATTGAAAATCTCAAAAATTCGATGAGCTATGTAATTTACCTTTATTTTAAAGAACAGATACAGATATTGTAACGTATACGTAATTACACATTCATAACGCGAAGGTACAGCTTCGCTTATTCGAATAACCTTATCCCTGTAGAAATAATAAGTAAAAATTGCGAAGGGTATAATTTCCACATTCCCCGAACCATCTCGTTCACATCTTCAGCGAGCGAATCTGAATTCCTGCCTCAAATATATTTAAATTTTCGAGGTCCTGCAGAGCTATATGGAAAACTCGTATCTTAGTTATTTTCCCACAATATTTAGTTTGGTCCTTTAAACGGAAAAAATACCAGAATTTTTTTAAATTGAAAAAGAATGTTGTGGTTTGCTGGGATAGGTCCTGATGTTTGGGCATATAATCGATTGCTTTCCAATTTGGAAGAACTCTTTGTAATCATTTTCAGTATCTCTAAATCTTTAATACGACAATACTTTATCGTAATTTTGAAGTATTATGAGCTGTTAAGGAAATTGGTTTTTCGTAAAAACGACTAATTCTTCAATATAACCAAAAAAAAGATATTAGTTTAAGGACACAAAATGTATGTCCTGAGGAAATTCCAGTAATATTAGACAATTTGCTCGTAATCTCAGTGCGTAACAGTAGCCGCCGCAAATCACCATATATTTTCCTCAGACCTGTGTTGGAATGACCGCCGCGTGACCAACTGATGATCAATTTTAAATATTGATGTTATTTTTACTTTAACGGGCCAATATAAATACTGTCTGTAACCCCCTTAACTCTATACAAATGGAACTAAATTTAGATTCGGGACATCCGACCATGAGCGACTTACCTACCTTACAATAAATATAAGCGAGCAAACCACCTGAGGCAAAGTGGAAATACGACCCCATCTCAAAATTTCTTCTGTGTATTAAGGATGGAATATCAAAATATAGCATTATCCATGCCCCTAGTAATGGTCAACTATGTAAATCCAATTCAAAGTTCACATTGGGTCAGACAAGAGCCGGTGTAAGGTCGTATGGAAAATATTGATTAGCTTTTACTTGTATGACAGAATATCGTAACAAACTATATATAAGATTAATAAAAATAAATTTCATGGACAACTGCATCCATCCTTTTATCAGTACCGTAGTTTTCGAAGTTTCGGAGTTTCTCGTCGTAGCATACAAAGTATATGTGCAGACTTGACGTAAACTAGACTCCCAACACTAAGACGGAGAAGCACCTGGACACATCTAACTACGATGACAAACTCCGAAACTCGGAAAACTGCGATGGGTAACTCTTGAACTTAGAAAATATTATAACCAGGAAATCTTAAGATGTATCGAAATACAATTTATCAAAAGTCTTCCGAAACAGTCGTCGAGTCAAAGACACTGGCCGATGGCATTGGCTACTTCTTAAAACAAACTTTGATTGAATTTGCCATGCTCTTGTCAAAAGATCTGATATTTTCATTTCTTCACGCAGGCTTTTCAAATCGATACCATACTCTTGTCAGATTGAGGCCAGACTTTGCCCATACTTGCCCATACTGTTCTTAGACTTTTTTTTTGGTCACGTTTCAACGTTAAATGTG